AATCTTCCACCATCTAGGACTGATGGAAAGTATCCTCTCACTCGCAACGTAGGTTTTGACTAACTGTCTTCAGACGAAAAGTACCTCATTGGCAAGAACGATCTGGATGTGGAAGAGTATGAACAGTTTGCCCGAGAAAATGCAAAGGACATTATTGCATGTGGCTTCGATATAGATAGGACTTTTATCTTTTCGGACTATGGGTACATGGGTGGCGACCTCTACCGAAACATCACTCGGATATCGAAGAGAATCACACGAGCTACTGCAGATTCTTGCTTTGGTTTTACATCTAGCACCAACATAGGAAAGGTATACTCTACTCTAGAGAAATATTTTCCCACTATCTCAGTCCTCGCCAACTGTTTTTTGTTAGGTACACTTCGCCGCCATTCAAGCGGCCACTTCGTTCGGATCTTCTTTCCCTGAAATCTTCGGCACCAACAAGGCACAGACAGCGAAGATACCATGCCTGATCCCTTGCGCCATAGAGTAAGTAAAACTTGCTACATTATTCTTATTTAAGTCTCATATCTAATCTCACTCTTAGTCAGGATCCATATTTCCGCTGTAAGTATGACGTTTGGAGTTATTCTTCCCATTCTGAAAATCTATAGTGACCCGTGATGTTGCTTCGCAACTGAATTACTCAAAACCGTCTCTTATTCACGCAAGGTTTTTGGATGCATTGCAGGGTCCAGGTTCAAAGATGTCTGCTTCGATTGATTCTAGCTCTATCAAGTTGACGGACACCCCGAAACAGATTCTGAAAAAAATCACTACCTATGCTTTTTCTGGGGGTAAGGAGACATTAGAAGAACATCGAGAGAAAGGGGGCAATCCAGACATTGATGTTCCTTACAACTATCTCAAGTTCTTCCTTGAGGTTCGTTCACTACGCCGTCAAGGAAGCCGTCGCTAATGTCCATTGCAGGATGACGATGAGTTAGCCCAGATTTACACAGATTATAAGAAAGGAACGATGCTCACCAGCGAGATCAAAAAGAAGTGTGCAGACGTGGTCTCTACCTTTGTAACCGACTTCCAGGGTCGCCGCGCCAAGATAACCGACGAGATGCTGGACGAGTTCATGAAACCCAGAGCACTAAAGGTTCATGGGCAGCTTTCCAATACTATTCTACCTATTGTAGGTGGCAAGAGTACGGCAGGGAAAGTTCCTGTAGCGGATCCGAACTCGAAAGCGCAGGCAAAGAAGGCAGAGAAGTTGCGCCAGATTGAAGCAAAAAAGGCGCAAAAGGCAAAGGAAAAGGAAGAAAAGGAGAAAGCTGCGAAGGGACATATAGTAACTTCAACAGAGAGTGCTCCGATGCCGAATCCAGATAACAGCACGAGCTAGACCATAGAGTAGAATAATGTTCAACCCCTATTTCCACCGAAAGTTATAACCTTAACGCTACCATTCCTGGCCTAGATGGAAGGCCAGCATAGCAAATACTCAGATTATTCAGCATCAAATACTTTCGATATCAGTCACTGACTCATTACATACCTCAACAGTTTATGCCAGCATGAACAGATTTTGATAAATCTTTGCCCCTGAAGTGGGAAAATAAGAATTTCAGTTTCAGATGCATGATAAGGCGCACCTTTGGACAAAAGGATGACGCTTGAAGATGTAATAAAGAATAAGCCGGTCCTTTAATCAATCTGTAAGGAGACGTTCGTGCTGACGGCGGGGCTGTGGGGGGTGCATTTAGCACTACGTCATCAGCCTCTCATTACCATCCAAACACTTTTTAAGCCGCAAAAACTCCTTTTAACAATTCACAACTTCAATTCTCACAATTGAAAATCAAAACAAATTTAACTTTAACCCTGATCCTTAAGTATATCAATACCACATTCATCAAAACTCTCATCTAAATCCATCAAAATGTCCGGAAACTCCAACGTCGGAAGCAGAGCCCTCTACGAGGCAGGCGATCAGGTACCTACCTTCTCATCTCTTACAGTATATGACTAGTGGACAACTAACTCGTTCTCCTCACACAGCGTAACTACGCCAACGACGAGATCAACAACGCCGAACGCTTCAAAGAAGGCAAGCCCAACAGCCACCTCGCCAACGACTCAAGTATATACCCTCCCATCCCCTCCTACACAACCTTCGTCATCCGACAACAGCTAATACATCACAGAGGATTCCCGCACGATAGCCAACAAGCTCGCGCGCGAAGAGCAGCGCGAGGACGAGAGCGAGGAGAAGAGTCTAGAGCAGCAACAGCGCGAGAAGGACGCGACGCTGCCGGCGAGAGCGCACGGGAACGAGCCATCCCGGGGTGCGGTTATCGATCAGGAGTTGAGGGAAGATGAGGAGGAGATGATGAAGAAGAAGGGGAGTTTTGGGCCGAAGTAGGGGAGTTTGATATTATACTCTTCGCAGGGGGAGTGCGTATAGATGCTTCGTGAGTAATACTCATGATTGGACATAAGTATCCTGTCGTAGAATCTAGATCAAATGGAAGTGATTAGTTCTTCACTTTGGTGCTCTTGTTCATGATGCGTGTTTATGTAGTAACAGATCGTCTATATACAATCTACATCTTACTGTATGGCCTTTCTGTACATGGCCCCTCCAGCACCTGCCTAGGCACTTATTAGTACGATACTCATGTATTTCTGTGCATCACGGTCGCGGCAGCCTTCACCAAGGTTAGCAGGCCGTCAGGTCCACAAAGAGGGGAAACCTACCTGATGGTTCGGGAAAACCAGTGTATCCGCAACGACCACATTCTCCCTCCTACCCGCCGCAAACACAACAACCTCCGCGATATCATCTGGCGTCAGGGGTTCACACCCCTCATAAACCTTATCCGCCTTGCTCTTATCCCCATAAAACCTCACGACGCTGAACTCCGTCTCGACCTGTCCCGGATCGATCTCAATGACCCTGATCCTCGTGGCGATGAGTTCGCGGCGGAGGGCGTCGGTGAAGGAGCGCACGGCGGCTTTGGTTGCGCAATAGATGGACCCGCTCTGGTAGGGTTCCCGGCCAGCGATGCTGCCGATGTTGATGATGTCGCCGGAATGGGGGGCTGGGCGGGATTTGAAGACGGAGAGGACGGCTTGCGTCATGTTTATTAGGCCGGTTACGTTGGTCGAGAACATGGTGTTGATGTCTTCGCGGGCGATGGAGGGGGCTTGGGCGACGCCTTTGACGAGACCACTGTTGAGGGAGAGACGGGTTAGCGTACTTGTATCTATTTGGTGCTTCTGGGCTTTGCGTGTTGGGGATATGAGTTCCTACGCATTGTTCACGAGTATGTTGATGTCTTTGAAGTCTTCGGGTAGGTTTGGGATGAAGGCATCCACTTCCTCTGGGTTGCTGACGTCGAGTTTGACTGGGAGGACCTTAACGCCAACCCCGACCTCCTTGTTGATCTCCTCTACTATCTGCTTCAGTGTGTCGATGCGCCGTGCCGTAAGGATGAGTTTCAGGTTCTCAGGTGCTGTTCGTGCAAATTGGAAAGCGGTACTTTTGCCTATGCCAGATGAAGCACCAGTAATAACAATCGTCTTGCCCTCGAGCCGTTTCGATATCGCTGTGCTCATTGTGCGGCTGATAGTGAAGTGTCTGAGGGGTTGTGAGTACGGAAGGAGTAAGGAGCTATGAGCTTGAGTTCGTCGGATAAGGGCGCTGATGGTTCGGGAAAAGATGTGGGTGCGGTGGAGGAAGGGCATACGAGGATTTATATTAACTATAACTTGTCTTTTATGTACAATTGGCGACGCAGTCGCGCTGTGCTGGTAGTGATGCTGGATGTCGTGATTTGAATGATGCGGCGATATGGGCGGGGCTTTGAATTGCCGTTTTGGTGGAACATCCACCCGATGGGCCGATTGGTCTAAACCGTGATGGGACGGAACCGGGGTATGCGAGGTTATTATCACCTCTTACGTCCATTTCCAGACGATATCCTCCTTTTCGCTTCGTATAAATCACCTTTTCCATAGGTTCTCGTGTGTATGATTGCGCGAAACATTTGTAGATGAGTAATGGGCAGGGTTTGCTTCGCTTTGCTCAGTTACCGGTTGTGGATTCGACGAACAAGTGCGAGGATACCATAACTGTTATTGCATCGGGAGAACCCATCGTGGAAGTTGATGGAACAAGCAAAAGAGAGAAACGGGAGTATTTTAAATCTTCTTATATACCATGTCATTCGCATACATTCATATAGTTGGTCGTTCTCTATCGAAGCAGGATGAAGACACTCCCATCAGATCTCCCATCAAGTAGTCAACGAAATGTTTACTATGGAACAATCATAACTTCTTTCTAAGATTTAATATTCTCGACTCCTTTATTCTTTGAAAGTCACTTTTTTCCTGTTATACAACTTAGAAAACACGTAGTATGGAAGGATTACTCGAAGACGCCTCATTCCTTAAGTCCTATCAACCGTTGGTCCGGTTTAAAGACGTCGGTGTAGGCCCCCGATGATAATATATGAACAGACTATAAATTCTGACTTTAAATTTATATATATATAACGAAGTTGTTGGCTATATGGGGCGTATTGATGTGAGAAATGTGTTCAGCGCAATAGGGCTGGCGATAAGGCACAGTTCAGGTTTTAACGGCTCCGTTCCTCATTCCAGATTCGCAGCAGAATGGTTCAAAATGGTAGTTAGTAGGACCCCCATGACTTGGTCAAAACTGGAATCAGCTAAACCGTTCTAGAGTAATGTGAATTGGAAGTAACTGCGGCTCCAGTCAGGTATACAGTAAGAGAACGAAATGGTTGGCAAGCGCGTGAGCCCCGCTTGGTTTCAAAGGTTACGTCCCGGCCAGGTACAATGTAGTTGTTAAGAAAATCCACGTGCAAGCGCTTTGATGCGTTGGACCTTGTGAAGACATTGTGAAGACGCATTTGACGGATATTCGAAGCCTCCGAGAATAATACGGCGACTCCTGCACCCTCTCTTTTACTCGTCTTTCGCACCTGCTACGCACTTCTCTTTAACATTTTCGACATTGTTGACAGCTCGCAATCTCGAACATACCAACATAACTACTTCCATCATTCCCATACTTTTGAATACCGCGGCGATATCGTTACCTGAAGCAACAATGCATCAATCCAGGATCTCCTCTATTATGCCAGCTCATCCTGATCTTGCCGCATCTGATGAGAGTAGCCTGCCATCCGTGTCATATATTACTTCTGATGATGAGGGAAGCTACAACAATTTTTCTTCAAGCAACACCTCTTACGAAGACTTCGACGACGTCAAAAAAGACGATCTCACTCCTGCCGACTTTTATAAGATCATGGGCTATCTCTCTCTTGCCGGTTACGAGATCGTCCCGAAAGTTCATCTTCCTGTCGCAATCGCGTCATTGGACCTCGCAATTCTTGACTACCTTGTCAGATATCAACATTCTGAGGCAACCGAATTTATTAACGAGCGCGACACTATTCCGATTGCATTTTCAGACGTTGTTCAATCACATAAAGGGAAGTCCGCAGATATAGCGACTCACGGTGTAACTCCAAAGCACGAGTTCCCTTCCACTATTGACGTCAGTTCTTCGAAAGATACCTCTCCCAAAATTTCATGGGCTGAAGTTGATGACCTTGATGATGATGAGTGGCTAACATATGCGCTTACCCCTCGCTGGGCCGAAGCTAATTCTTCCGACAGAGCTGTTGTTAAAGACGAAGCAAACACTAATCAAGAAGGAGCCCCCAATGCAGATGCGACTGATGAGAACGGAGCAACTGATGAGACAGAAGCAACTGACGAGGAAGAACTAACTGTTGAGGAGGAAACCATTGCTACGGTCCTACCCTGGGATTCTTTCTATAGGCCGCATACATTGAATCCATACGAATTCTACGGAATCGACGAAGCAGAACGTCTAAACCTAAAGTATAATGCAGACGGTCAGCGTATGAGGTTATTTGCTATAGTCAGGAAGGGTAGAAGCGAGCGAGGATTTTTCTTTCAATCTCAGTCTACCCATCAATCGCTAGAAGCGGCTCGCACTACCTTAGCTGAGGCTAGAAAGGCGATCTGGGGCGATACATATCGAGAGCGCGAGGGAAGAGAAGCCGAACAAGCTGGTTCTACTAGTGATAGTTTTAGTCAACAAGATGAATACCATCACCAGAGCGACGAATCGATGATCGAAAATATCTATCAGCCGAAGGAAGTCGACACATCTACTCAGTCCCCTACTACGAATGTACAATTGGAAGAAATATCCATTGATTCTTGCCCTAACAGTGGTATTCCCCAACTCACTCTCCCCTCCCAGAAAACAAACGTCGAATACCGCGTAGATGAACGGTGCACTGTCAACGTTGATGCCATGTTTTCTTCTCGGATACGAAAGAAAACACTAAATTTCACAGTGGAGGAAGAAGAAGAAGAAGAAGCTGAGGATGAAGACACTATGGGAGGAAATACGGAAGACACTGACGAAGGAAATGAGACTACCCTTACCGGAACCCTTCCTCCAGATACTCCATCTTCGCCGTCATTTTACCCACACTATTCTGCAACATCCCCAGAGACCTGTGCATGGATACTTAGATCTGGCTATGGTGCAATTGACCTAGCTCCTGTTGTAAAGGACATTAGTACGCAGGATCCAAGCACTCCTGACGCTCCCCGACGGTATTCTTTGTTAACCGCCGCGTTTAATACCCTCTACGGATTCGAAGGGATCGAAGAATCTCCACTCCCATCCGGAGCCTATTGCAGGAAGTGGGCTACAGACCCATATGCTCCCGGACAGAGCGGTGCAAAACGGGTATGGCAATATAGGAAAGGAGTTAAAGGTGTAAAAAGTGGTAGTAATTTACATCTTAACGATCTTGTTGCTCATACCCACCATTCTAATATATCTGAGCCTCTTAACGCCTTTCAATTGCGAAGGAACGAGGATGCAAAGACCGGTGAGGAGTCCATCGCCGTACAAGAAACCACTGAGGCGGAAATCCCTCATCGATTTGATACCTCGAATCAGATCAAGATACCAGGGTCCTTGTCTGACGAAGAACCGGAGCCGTGGGCATGGACCTTAGACGTACAGGCGCTGATAGCAGATATCAGGGCGGGGTTGTGGGAGATTTTCACGGGTGGGGAGGAATTTTGATTGGGGGTGGGCAATTTGGGTATGAGTGATGATTGAGCGCAGATTTTGCGGAGATGTACATATTTTCAACAAGCTCATGAGAACCTTCCGGGCTGTTTGCGAGACCGAGGAAATAACTAGGGTGAGGTTCTTGACGATTTGGGGTGTATAACACAGACGGGAATCAGCGTTTGATTGATATCATAGTATACTTGAATCCATCCCTTTACCCAGAAATACTCTGAAGATCGAATTCCCGATAGTTTGTTTCCGCGATTGGAAGCCAAGTTAGTGACTTACTACTGGCTACCCGCGGACCATTTGAGTTAGTTAGAGCCAAATATGTCTCTGACATCGTGATATTAGACTCTGTGTGAAGTGTTTAGTACGCTTGGGTTTACAATATGGTATCTTCGTTTATCTACTCATTTAAGTCCAGCTATCTTCACAGACCCCAGTATAGAAAGAAGTAATCAATCAGTTACATAGAAGACGTCACTTTCTGGACGTGATATCGATCATTCGTAGCTCAAAACGTATTCTTAGCCGTTGTATCAGTGTAAGTCTTTAAATATATTAGGTCTTTGCTGTTTTGTAAGAGGGGAAGTTGAAAGGGTTAATGGTCATACAGTCGACTCGTATTCGAGGATTGGGTGAACCTTGGGATTATATTCACTGGGGTTGTGGTCAATACGGTATTATTTCCGAGTATATGTTATTGGACGAGATAGAAGGATGAGCTGAAATGAGTGATTATTGGGTGTAGAAGTTAGGAGGAAACACCCTTTTCATGGGAGAAGTCGTAGGGTGGGACCGAACAGATGACTGGTCGCGTGCTTAGACGAAGCTTTATGCTAATAATGCGTGGCGTATCTAATAAGGCATATATTATAGACCCCATCAACTAGTTCGACATTGAATGGAGTTCTAATTGTTTAGCTTCGTGGTAGAGCTAACCGAATAGAACCATTCCGGTGAAGCTATCATCAGCCTTGTGTATTCCAGAACATGATAAGATACGATCATTCCTACTTCACTTGACAAGAAATCAGTCTTTACCAAACCTTCGCACGAGGAACCTTACCTTATCTACGATAGCCGGGAACATAATTCTTAATTCTGGCTGATGGCTTAATTGGGACAACTTTTTAATCAATTTCTTTCAGTCAAATCAGTTCGATTCCTTTCACAGTCAAATTTCGTATTTCCTATTAATCTCTTGCCCCAACACACAAGCCCACAGAGAATAAAGGTGAATCCCTCGAGGGGTTTCCTTATCCCCTCAGCAGAGGGGGTTTCCTTTTACAATTTTTTTTTTTCTTTTTCACCCCCTTCCACCTTCTTTTTTCATCTCGCAACTGTGCTCAAGCTCCATCAATTAGCTGACCGGAAAGAGATATCAATCAGCATATGTTCTCAACATTCCAATTTACGAGATCGATATCTTAGAAGAGATATTCAAAATTATGGCGGACATATTCTTTCCTCCTTATACAAGTGGGAACACAAAAATAAACCCAGAGTTCAGCCACGTTAGATCCAGGTCCTCAGTATCTCTCCGCCATTTCATACGGCATAAGTACCCCATTTGCGATTTCTTTGTGTCTCCTGGGCACACTTGGCTTGAAAGAAAGAAGATAGAACAAACCGCGCTCACCGTACAACCTATCCTCATCAATATCTCAGTTACGAGGTTGAAACATAAGCGATTCAAGTTACGTCGAGTAGAGATATGGGACGGGCATCATAGACTTCTTGCAGCATTGCAATCATGTGGACCCCACGCAACTCTTCATAACTGTGTATCTTGGCTTAGTGGCGAGCGAGATGTCGCAAAAAGAGGCAGCGTCGCAGTGATTCTAATAAACTGCCGGACAGTGACGAAAGAGTTGTATGAACAATGGGTGAAATTATCAGGACTCCTTTTGCACTATCCATTAGCAGAAGCTCTGGTTCCTGCTCCTGGGTTTATGCCTGAGCCATACACCGTAAAGTTAGATCAAAGAGTCTCTACCATAGGGGACGAGTCTCGTTTAGGAGAAACAAATTTTTTTAGCGGAGATTCTGATATTGCTCGACTTGGATTATTCTTTGGTTCATTCGATCCAATCCACAACGGACATCTTGATATAATGGACTATCTCCTGAAAGAAAACACTCTGGAGATTATTGTCCTTATTCCAAACATGGAGGCGGTCAACAAGTCTTTCCACACTTCTCGATTCCATCGGATTGCCCTTATGAAGTTAGCCCTTGGGTCTTTGACCCGGCAGTATCCGGGTAGAATTTTCATATTCCTTCGAAATACCAATTGGGTGGGTTCCATGGAAGTACGTGAAGCATTCATGGAAGGTATAGCTCAAGTGTTTGGAATTCCCCATAGATCTATTTACCACATTGAAGGCTTCGAAGCACAGAAGCCATTCTTAGGCCTCTTCCCCTCCATTGTTCTTCCCAGAGCGACCGATGCTCTCACAGAGCATGCGATAGCAGGTATTCATCCGCGTTCGAAAGTTGATCGATTCTTCCAGGACCGGTGGAATCTAAGTTCTTCAGCTATCCGCCGATGGCTTCAGCTTTACCGGATCCCACATCCAAGCATCCGCAGTCCTGCAGTCGAACCATTCGTTGCGGCAGCTCTCCCGGCCACAGTAAAGCTATACATCGAGAGCAACCAGCTCTATCTGACGGAAATTCCCTTCTTCAATCTGAAGCCCAAGATACTTCCATCGGCGGATTTTGTCCCTCAACATCATAACACAGATGTATCTGATGTATCACTCACTAGTTACCTCCTGACGACTGGCACAGCCGCTCGTATCACTGCTTTCCGCACCCAAGCGGCACACCTCAATCTTGCGATCTCCGAGACCCTGCTTTTTCATGGAAACTCTATCAACGTTTGCCCCAACGGCCTCATCACCCATAACTCTGCGTATCTGACACCCTCACGCGGCTATCTAAACCCGACACATAGTCCTCATGCATCCTCTATCCGTCTCTCCCCTTCTCTCCCTTATCCCGTCACGAACTTTGAGCTTGCATGCTATCTTTCGCACCATCAAATTTGGGCTGCTTCTTTCTGGTGCGGATCGCCACATGTCCTAATCGCCGAAGACCGAGCCGTCTTCACCTCTAACTTTGCAACGCGACTTAAAGCCGTACTGCCGGAGCTCGCTAAACTAGACTACTCACTGTGTTACCTGTACAGTCGGCCATCGGCACCGGCGCTGAGGAAAGCGGGAGATGGTGAGTTACTGCTAACAGCGTATGTGGTCAGTCGACTGGGTCTGCAGGTACTGCTAGGGAAAGCATTCCCGGTAAGGAGACCGGTAGATTGGTATGTGAAAGAGACTTTGAGTAAAGAGGGCAAGAACCCGGGGATATATGCGGCGTCTTTGGTTGAGAGAAATGAGGAGCTCGTTACTACGATTCCGAAGGTGTCGCATAATTGGTGAGAGGGGGATTATCTTGGTGATACGCAAATGGACAACTGAATAAGCTGAGCGTTATTCGTGGTGATATAATGGAAAACTTAAGGAAGAATAGGATCTAAATTGCTCTAGTAGTAGGCGAGGTGAAAATAAACCTCTCATATCGAAGGAGAAAATGTTCTACTTCATATAATAAGACAAATACTATGGTTCAATTTATCAAGTGATAGAACACCACTTCAACGGCCAGTTGAGAACTTCGTCGACCGAGTCCCTATACTTACGGGTACATATTGAAAGACCACGTTAAAGCGAGCTTCATCGTAAGAAATAAATTTCGTTATCTGGCTGCTCTACTGTGCTAGGATACAGATCAAAAGCACTTCTGACTCACTGGGAGCAGAAGCCAAATTCGTGACCAGAAACAAATATCTACGGAAATCGAACAAATGGGAACATGAAGAATAGTTTCCGAATGTGTGCATGGCTAGTGGACAGAACCACTGAGAATTAATTTAGGTTTGTCGTGGGAAAAGGAGGAGATGTCGTTAGATTTGGGAAGAGAAGGGATCTTCGCGCTACTTCCAAAAGAGGTCTAGTTCAACTCAGTGTTCTCTATCGAGTACCTCTTCTTCTCTATTTCTAATGATATGGCATCGAACGAGATTCTTGTGTTGCCGTGTCTTTCATCTCCACGAGACTTTACGGAGAGAAATGCGAAGTATTGTTCCGTTTCAGATGAAATGGTTGTAGTCAACCTCCACGTGATCTAGGGGTTGAAACTTCAAAGTCGGAGAGATAAAACAGTCTCCTAAAACCTCAAAATTCTCTACCGGGCATCAAAAATGGCTGCAATGAATTTTATCAGAGATTTATTTGTGAACTCAAGGCATACGCGTTGGATATCGCCGCTCCTCCTTATTGCCGACGCGGCGCTTTGTGGACTCATCATATGGAAAATTCCATGTAAACACTCCCGAATATTTTGATATAACCATCAATATCATCTAAATGTCCATATTTCTGATATACCATAGATACCGAAATCGACTGGCGAGCATACATGGAGCAGGTCTCCCAATATCTAGCCGGTGAACGCGATTATTTCAAGATCAAAGGCGGTACTGGTCCATTAGTATATCCAGGATTACACGTGCAAATCTATCGAGCTCTTTACTCTATTACGGATGAAGGCAGAGATATTCGACTTGCGCAAGGCATCTTTGGACTACTCTATCTCGCCACTTTGGCGGCTGTGATGCTATGTTACCGACAAGCTAAGGTATGATAGTCTCTACTAAGAACTTGATATCATAGTAATATGGAATGAGTTTCTGAGATTTATAGGCGCCACCATATGTTTTCCCACTTTTAGTATTATCGAAGCGTTTGCATAGCATCTACGTTCTAAGGTGTTTCAATGATTGCTTCGCCGTGTTCTTTCTGTGGACAGCCATTTACCTTTATCAAAAGCGTATGTATACTGCTGGCTCCATTCTCTATTCCTGCGGACTAGGTGTGAAAATGAGCGTCCTACTGGTACTACCCACGATGGGAATGATATTCCTACAGGTAATGGGAAGGGAAAGAGCAACGACTCAAGCTATGTTAATAGGCCAAATGCAGGTAAGGAACAACTGAATGCCACCCACAATGAAGAGATACTAACGTATAAAGGTACTCTTTGGACTTGAATTCTTAAAATCGAATACGACAAGCTACATGTCACGTGCATTCGAGTTCACCCGACAATTCCTGTACAAATGGACAGTCAATTGGCGTTTCATTTCCGAAGATACATTTCTGTCTAAGCCTTTTGCGTATGGTCTACTGATAGCTCATCTTTGGCTACTCATACTTTTTGCGTCCACAA